CCTCATCTTTCTCCCGCGGAGCGGCTGGTAGTTTCGAACCGCTGACCTTAAGGTTCGCAGCCCGATTCGTAACCACTACGCTACCAGAGCTCCTTACTCATAATATTAGGGGTGAGTTAATTAAATATTTGAGCAAAACTATTTTTTAAGTTGATAATTTTGTATGGCCTGAGAGTGATGTTATAAATTTTGGCAGATAAAAGGTTCCCCATCCCTGCTCTATAAGATTAATTTTAGAACCTTATGGTTTATTCAAATGCAAGTATTATGACAGTAAATAGGAAATTTTAATTTCTCTAGATCTAAGAGAGCTGAGCAATAGCAACATATTTTAAAAGCAGAAAAGATCATTTAATGGAGAAAATACTGGGTTTAGTGAAAAAAAAATCTGAGATTCAATTTAAATTCTGTAATTAACAGAATTAGTTAGAGATCTAATTTGAGTTCTCTATACCTGGTGTGGACTCCTGGTGTAGTGCTGTAGGATTAACACTAGACTGCGAACCACAAGGTCAGCAGTTCAAACCCACCAGCTGCTCCTCAGAAAGAGTCATGATAACTCCATGACATTTAACAATAACATACCTGGTACAGTGCTGTAGGATATATAAGTACTGGACTGCCAATGACAAGGTTGGCTTTTCAAACCCACCAGCCACTCCATGGAAACCCCATCCAAGGTCGATATGAGTTGTTAATGGCAACAGCTGCCATACCAAACCAAAACACCCACTGCCAACAAGTCTGTTTCAACTCAGCACCCCTACAGAGGGCTTCTCAGTTACTAAAACTTAAAAGAATGTATCCCTTACTTTATGACTAGGTCATTATATTTTTTTCAATGATTTTTTTTAAAGTAGACATAATTATTACACATTAATGTCACTGCATTTAGGGTTCTGAAACTAACCACAAGGTTAGCAGTTCAAACTTACCAAATGCTTCTTGGGAGAAAAATGAGCCTGTTTGCCCCTGTAAAGATTGAATCTTGGAAACATAAGGACTATTTCTGTTCTGTCCTATAGCGTCACTATGAGTTAGTGAGCTTATCTAGGCTGCTAACCAAAAGGTTGGCTACCCAGCGGCCTCCCAAGAACAAAGGCCCAAAACTCTACTTCCAAAAGAATCAGCCACTGAAAACCCTACCGAGCAGACTTCTACTCTGATATACATGGGATTGCCTTGCATCAGGGATGACTAAGCACTCGACCTCAAGGTCGGTTTGAACCGCAAGGCGGCAGTTCAAACTCACAAGCCACTCCTTGGAAGTCGCTCCTTGGAAACCCTATACAGGGTCGCTATGAGTTGGAACTGATTCAACAACACTTAACAAAAACAACATTTGATAAGGAGGATAAAGAGGAAAAATATCACAGAAAGATAGAAGTATAATTTATTTAGGGAAAATATAATTTTTAAAACTTTAAAAAAATTAACAGTTCAAAGCAATCAATTAATCCAGTAACAATACTGATCTTGTTGTTAGGTGCCATCATGTTGGTTCCGACTCATAGTGATCATACATACAAAAGAATGCAACACGCCTAGTCTTGTACCAGTCTAACAATCATTGTTTAGTTTGAGCCCATTTTTACAGCCACTATGTCAATACATCTCATTAAGGGTCTTCCTCATTTTTGCTGACCCTCTACTTTACCAAGCACGATGTCATTCTCCAAAATAATAGTATTACTGGGTCGCTATGAGTTGGAACCGACTCCATGGCACATAAACACCACCATCATTTTATACAAGACACAGCGCTAGGTACTAGTTTGTACAGATTACAAAACAATCACAAACCCCAAACCTATAGAAAGATAGTCATTCTCGTTATGCTGTACCTAAGCTTGAAAGAATAATTCAAGTTACAAGGGATAGCTAATATGACAATAGTAGAAAATGGAAAATATATAGACAGTATATGTATACACACATACACACAGAGCCTGATGTGTCTCTGTAGGATAAGCACTGAACTGCTAACTGCGAAGTTGTCAAACTCACCAGTCGCTTCTTGAAAACCCTATACAGGGTTGCTATACATTGCAATCGACTTGATGGCATTTAGAAACAGCAACAACATGACAACGAAAAAAATCTAAATTTCTGTAAAATGCCATTTTAGCACAATGAGAAAAAAATGGATACTGTGTGGGTGTTATATTCTCCTAATGCAGCCCTAAAGTTTGAGAATCTTGCCCTATCTGCAACCAAAAGTTCTTATAAAATCAATATTCCCGGCTTGTGATGCTAAAATACAATTCTGTCACCTGTTAGGTAGAGGGAACAGAAATTCAATGACTTTTTTAAACTTCTGTCATCAAACATCTAAAACAAAACAGCTGTCTTGATTTAACTATACATGCTTTATATATGCCAGGGTAAAAACACACAACCTCCTAAACAGCCGATAACAAAAGGCCAATCAAAGATTGGAAGATAAATAATAAAAGAGTGACAGAAAGTTATGGTGGAAGAAAGATGTGAACTGGATATGAGTATACATTATATATACAAGGGATAAAGATCAATTTATAGTATGAATAAATAAAATAAATAAATAAAATAAAGACCAATTTATAGTGTGAATTTTAAAATATTATAATGTAGCAATTATGCTAAAAAGATACTTAGGGGCTACCTAATTTATTACAGTGTAAGATATTATCCAGGATTCCCCTAAAATGTGGCCTCTTTTTTTTACAAACATTTATCATTCATTAATTTTTAATAGTAATTATTTTTAAAAGCAAGCTATTTAAACAAATGCTGTATGCTTACAGTTTAGACTTTCCAAACTGTGATCATATGATCAATTAACATTGAGAGTTTTGAATAAGTGAAATTAAATACATATTAGGCACCCATGTTAAATGTACCAAAATTAGTCTCTTGATTCTCTAAAAATTAAAAAAAGACATCTGACATATTTTTATTATTTAAAAACTATGAATATAATAATAGTCAGCACATTAACATGTCAATATTATCCCACCCTCAGCAGCACATGAAACCTTTCCAGCATGAGTATCTTTCTCAATGCCAACAGCAGACATTTGGTGAAAGCCTACAGAGGGAGAAATGGTCTTTGGCGAAGAAATTGAACAAAGTGAGCCTCTGACCTTCAAATCAATACGATGATATAACCAAACACTATGCAGTTTAAATGGATTCTAATGTGTTCACAAATGTTCCAAGTAATCTGGAATCTGATAAAAAGCATACTACTTACATATGTGGCCTTGTAGGATAAGCACTGGACTGCAAGGTCAGTTTGAACCTCAAGGTTGGAGGTTCAGAACCGACTTGATAGCACTTAACAAAAACAACATTTACATATGACAAGTACTTAGAAAAAAAATAGTCTAAAATATATTTTTTGCTGGGAAACTAAAAAGAATATCAGCATTCAGATACACTCATCAGGAATAAAAAAAGAGATACCTATGCATCATTTGTGGCGCTACAGGATAAGCACCGGACAACAGATAGTTTGAATCACAAGGTCGGTGGTTCAAAGTCACCTGCCACTCTTCAGAAACCCTATTCAGGGTCGCTATGAGTCAAAACTGACTCAAAAACACTTAACAACAACAAAAGCAATATTAAATATGATGTCTGTATGCTTATAAAATATTCTGTTAAGCGCTTATAATTTTTAAATTCCCACCTAAGGAATTCTTACTGTTAGTTAACTGCTCCTCGAAATAGATCTTAGGAGGGTCCTAATGTTTACTCAAAATTTCATATAATTTATTTTAACAATCTTTAAGTAACTGGATTTAATGATCATCAAATTTACCTACATAAATCTCATTACTGAAAAGAATACCTGTTTTTCTGCTCTTGCTGCAGTAACTGAGCGGCTATTTTCCTCAAATCAGTTACTTCCTTCAAATCATCATCCTCTTCCTCTGCAAGTAACTGTTCTTTCTCAGGTCTGAAAGGTGACACACACATGGTTATCAAAAAATTAAGGCAGACTATATATTATGCCGGCTTTCAGAAGTAAAAACCATTTTCTTTTTGTCCTATTTTCATATTTTTAAAGTAATAGCTCCCATTCTCCTCTCCCCAAAGCCCAATAACAAGTATTCATCTACTTCTTTCTCTGTGCACTTGCCTATTCTAGATGTTTCATAAACATGTGATTATATAGCATTTGTTCTTTTGTGTCTGGCTTATATCATTTAACATAATATTTTCAAGGTTTACCCATGTGGTAGCATATCTCAGAACTTCATTTTTCTTTATGGCTGAATAATATTCCACTGTAAAGATATATCACATTTTATTTATCCATTCATCTGTTGATGGCCATTTACGCAGTTCACACCTATTGGCAACTGTAAATGGCACAGCTGTGAACATTAGAGTACCAGTATCTATTTGAGTCCAGGCTTTCAATTCTTTGAAATGTGTAATTGGTGGGTTACATGGAGTCCTGGTGTGGCGCTACAGGATAAGCACTAGACTGCAAGATACACAGTTCACACTCACCAGTTGCCCCCTCAGAAACCCTATACAGGGTTACTATGAGTTGGAACCAACTCAATGGCACTTAATAACAACAACAACACGGCAATTCTGTGCTTAACTTTTTAAGAGCAACCGAACTGCTTTCCACAGCAGCACCACCATTTTACCTTCCCAGTAGCAATGGATGATGATCCCAATTGCTCCACATTCTTTTGTTAATATTTATGTTCCATTTTTATAATAAAGGAGTTCCTGGGAGGCACACATGGTTAATAAACTTGACTGCTAACTGAAGGGGAGCACAGCGGCTCTATACGATAAGCACCATGGTTGCTATGAGTCAGAATCGACTCCACTGCATGCAACAACAACTGAAGGTTGGAGATTCGAGTATCCCTAGATGTGCCTTGGAAGAAAAGACCTAGTGAGCTACTTACTTCAGAAAACTCAGCCATTGAAAACTCTATGGCACACTACTTTGTTTATTTTGGCAAATAAGGAGTTACCATGAGTCAGAACTGACTCTATGGAAACTGTTTTAATGGGTATGAAGTTGCATTTCATTGTGGTTTTGATTTACATTTTCGGAATGATTAAAGAAATTAAGCATTCATTCTTTCATGTGCTTGGTAGCCATTTTATTTTCTATGGAGAACTATTCATTCAAATCATTTGCTCACTTAATTGTCTTTTTGTGTTGTGTTACTTGTAGGAGTTCTTCATATATTGTGGAAGTTAAAATCTTATCTGAGAATATGATTTCCAAATATTTTCTCCCATAATGCAGATTGCCTTTTGACTTTCCTAATAATTTGCCCCTTGATACACAAAAGGTTTTAACGTTGATGAAGTCCAATATATGAGGGTGAGTAAAAAATTATCCACACTCTGGCTATAGAATTTATTTTAATCAACTTTTATAAAAGATAAATACATCATTTTTCAACATAACTCCTTGCTTTTCAATATACTTTGTCCATCTGTTAACAAGCATTCATAGTCCATTATTAAAAATCTTTTAGACTGAGTTGTGAGCCACAAATACACCATTATCTTTTCTTAGTGAGAGGTGAATCCTCAAAGGGCTGCTTTCAGGGGACCAAACAAGGTCTGATGGAGCAAGATCAGGATGATAGGGAGGATGCTTTAACACTTCAGAAAGAAGTTTATGCAGAATGTCAACAGTGTGGGCAGAGGAGTGAGGATGTGCATTCTCACGCAAGATTACAAAGCCCTTGGATAGCAGTCCACTGTCTGAACCCAAGTTAACGCCTCAGCTTTTCAGTGAGCATCTCACACAATAATGAGTACTATTGACTGTTGAACCTTTTTTCCTGATAGTGTTCTAACACTAGCCTTTGAGAATCCCAGAAAATGGTAAGCACAAATTTTACAGTTGATGGTTGACTTTTGAATCCTTTCTTGGTCAGCGACTGAGGATGCTTCCATTCCATATTCTGTAATTTACTCTCAGATGTGTAGTGATGAATCCATGTTTCATCACCAGTAATGATTTTTTCAAGAAACTTTTACCTTCCTTCAAGTATTGGTCCAAATTTCATTTGCAAATGTCCAAATTCTTCTGTTTATGCTCTTCCATGATTGGTTTGGTGCCCATCTTGTACAAACTTTTTGAAACCCAAGTCTGCCATGGTTTATTTCATAGGCAGAGCCACGGCTAGTTTGCAAATGGTTTGTCACATAGTCCACTGTCACTCGTCTATTCAACAGAGTTATTTCACATGCATGCTCAATTTTGTCATCAGCCGTGGACATTGACAGGCATTTTAATATAACCAGAGTGCAGATCATTTTTTAATCACTCTCATATATTATTTATTTTATTGCTGGAAATTTAAGCATCATATCTAAGAGTAATCCAAAAACAACAGGTTCTAAAGCTTTAGATCAGTTTTCAACTAAGAGTTTTTTTATTTTTTAGCTCTTATGCTATTGATCCAATTTGAGCTAATTTTCATACATGTAGAGATCCAGTTATCCCAGCACATTTTGTTGAAAAGACTATTATTTCCGCATTAAATGAACTTTGTCAAAAAACAACTGGCCATAGATGTAGATGTTGATTTATATATATTCAATTAGACATATCTGTGGTGCTGAAGAATAATGTGCTGGACTGCAAGGTCACTTTGAACCACAAGATGAGCGGTTCAAACTCATCAGCTGCTCCTTGGAAACCCTATACAGGGTCATTATGGTTCGGGACTGACTGGATGGCACTTAACAACAACAACATCAATAATAAGGAGTCTTGGTGTGGATACACACTGTACTGATAAATACAAGGTCAGTGGTTCACCCACCAGCCGCTCCTCAGAAACTCTATACAGGGTGGCTATGAGTTGGAACCATATCAGCGACACTTAACAACAACATTCTTAAAAGAAAGAAATGTAGACTCAAATATACCAATAATGATGAAGTTACAGGACTGGATTACATTTTGTTCTGCTATACATGGTTGTTGGCACCATGTATAGCACCACACTGTTTTGATTACTATAGCTTTGTTATATGCTTTCAAAATAGGTAAATGTGAATGCTTCTGTCTTCTTTTTCAACATTTCTTTGGCGATTTGTAGGATTTTCTATTTCCAAGAAAAAAGACTGCTAAAATTTAGTAGAGATTGTGCTGAAAATGTGTATGTAGCAATGACATCTTAACATTATTAAGTCTTCCAATATATTGGATATCTTCCCACTTATTTGGTCTTCTTTAATTTCTTTCAGCAATGTTTCATAGTTTTCAATACAAGGAACTTTCACCTTTTCAGTTAAATGTATTGCTAGGTGGTGGTTGCTACTGCTCAGGGCTCTCTAGTCGTTTCTGATTCATAGTGACCCTGTATAGGCTTTCCAAGGAGTGACTGGTGAGTTTGAACCATCAACCTCATGATTCAAACTGACATTGCAATCCTGTATTTATCCTACAGGGCCATATTCTTAAATGCCATTAAAAATGGAATTGCTTTTTTTATTTCTTATTTATGTTATCCATTGCTTGTGCATAGAAACACAACTGATTTTTTTTTAATAATTGATTTCTCTACAAAAGAAAAATACACAGTAAAACATATGTCAATTTAACAATTCCAACATGTACAATTCAGTGGCATTGATAGAATTTTTTAGGTAAGGTAACCATTCTCACTCTCCTTTTCTGATTTATTCTTCGTTTATTAACATAAACTCACTGTCACCTAAGGTTCCTGTCTAATCTTTCAAGTTGCTGTTGTCCATTTAATCCCATATAGGCAGATCTTAAAAGATTCTTTTATAAAATCTTTTGTCAAAATGTTCTGTAATGGTAGCTAGGAACCACCCAGTATTTCTGGTTTCAGGGAAAAGGAAACAGTTGTTCATGTAAGTAATTGGTCAGACATTTTATATCGTCCTCCTATGCCTGACTCTCCTTCTTCCTCTGTTGGTCCAGAAAAACTCTTGTACTTTGAGTGGCCAGTTGAAAGCTTTTAAGAATCCCAGCACTATGCAACGAAATAGGAGGTAACGCAGAAGCACTAAGCATGATATTAGACCAATTAACTAAGACAGCTCATGAAACCATAACCCAAGGAGCTATGTCCCATGAGGTGTTTGGTTGTACATAAGCAACCTCAGTAGATACTATTTATTGATTTGTTGGTCACTGTTGTAGATACATCTAGATATCGAACTAATTTTTGAGTGTTGATCTTATACCCTGCAACTTAAATTTTTCTTATTAGCTCAAATAGCTAATGGACACTTTTGGGATTTTCTACATATAGGATCATGTCATCTGCAAAACAGTTTAACGTCTTCTTTTCCAATATTTGTTGTTGTTATGTGCCGTGGAGTCGGAACCGACTCATAGCGACCCTGTACAGGGTTTCCGAGGGTGTAAATCTTTACGGGAGTAGAAAGCCTCATCTTTCTCCCGCGGAGCAGCTGGTAGTTTCGAACTGCTGACCTTGAGGTTTACAGCCCGATTCGTAACCACTACGCTACCAGAGCTCCTTATAGATGAATGTTATTTCCTATCTATCTATCTATCTATCTATCTATCTATCTATCTATCTATCTATCTATCTACCAACCTACTTTCCTAATTGCTCTGGCTAGAATTTCCAATAGAATGCCTTATTTAGGGGAAAACATTAAGTTTCTTGTTCACTGTGCATTTTTCATAAATTCCCTCACTTACGTTGAGGAACTATTATTATATTAATTTTGCAGAGCATTTTTTTCAATATGATAGAATGTAAGATTCTATCAAATACCTTTTCTGCATTGATTGAAATGACCATGTGATTATTCGCCATCATTCTATAAATGTGATATAATACACTGAAATTCTTACCTTGAAATACCTCATTGCATTCCTGGGTAAATCCCAGTTTATCATGGTGTATATTTTTAGTATACTATTGGATTCCGTTTTCTAGTATTTCGTTGAGAAAGTTTGCATATATATTCTAAGGGATACTGGTGTGCGTTTATCTGGCTTTAGTATCAGGGTAATTCTGGTGTCATAAAATATGTTAGGCAATGGTCTCTCCTCTCATTAGCTTTCAGAAGAGTTCACGAAGGATTGGTGTTAATACTTTAAATGTTTTCTAGTATTCACCAGTGAAGCCCTCTAGTCAGAGACTGTTCTTTTTTTAGGTTTCTTTAATATAGATTCAATCTTTTCACTTGTTATTCATCTGATGAGATTTTCTATTTCTTCCTGAGTCAGTTAGGTACTTTGTGTGTTTCAAGGAACCTTTCCATTAAATCATGTTTATCTAATTTTTTGATGAACAACTGTTCATACTTTATTCTTATAAAACATTGTATTCCTACAAGGTCAGCAATATCCCCCACTTTTATCTAATTTTAGTTATTTTCTTCTTCTCTCTTTACTTTGTCAGTCTAGCAAAATGGTTGTCAATCTTGTTGATTTTTTCAAAAATTAACTTCTTGTTTTGTTGAGTCTACAGTTTTTCTATTTCACTTATTTTTTCTCTAATCTTAAGGAGCTCTGGCAGCATAGTGTTTACTAGTCGGGCTCTGAATCTCAAGGTTAGTATTTCGAAACTCCCAGCAGTTCCATGGGAGAAAGATGAGGCTTTCTGCTCCTGCAAAGATTTATAGCCTTGGAAACCCTGTGCAGGGTTGCTATGAGTCAGAACCACAGCACACCACCACCATCACCACCACTGTAATCTTTATTAGTCTTAGTGTGGTGCTGTAAAATAAGCACTGGACTGCTGTTAACTGCAAGGTCAGTGATTCAAATCCACCAACTCCTCCTTGGAAACCTTATACAGTGTCACTATGAATCAGAACTGACTCCACGGCACATAACAACAACAATAACAATCTTCATTAGGGAGCACAATGGTTCTGCAAGATAAACATCCATCTGTGAACCACAAGGTCAATGGTTCAAACCCACCATCCATTCCTCATTAGAAAGATGAGGCTTTCTGCTCCCACAAAGATTTACAGCCTTGAAAACCCTATACAGGGTCACTATGAGTGGTACCAACTCAATGGAACTTAACAACAACGATCTTTATTATTTCCTTCCTTGTGGTACCTTTGGACTATGCTCTTCTTTCTCTAGTTTCTCAAGGACCATTTTCGTTTTTTAATACCATGTGCAAGATAAAATCCTAATGTCTTTGAGTTAAAATATTAAATAAGAAACTGGGAATCTCCCAATACCAAAACATATGCCCATCTTCTTTCTACAATATAAACAACTGCACACTGGTAATATTAATATACAGTCCTGGTGTGGCACTGTGGGTTAATACACTAGACTGCCAAGTCGGTTTGAACCACAAGATTGTTGCTCCCCAGAAACCCTATACAGGGTCATGAAGGGTCAGAATTGACTCAACAGCACTTAACAACCACAATATTAGTATAATTAATAGTTATCAAAATAAAGCATATAACCATTATGCAATTTCTGAAATGTTTCAACACAATTTACCAATACTTATTCCTCAGTCTTGAGTTTATAATAAGCATTTCAAAGGTCTGTATGACATATTTTTTAAGTTCATTTAAAAAATGTTAAGAAAAGTTCTCATTTTATTGACTCACCTTGATATCATCAGTTTATTTATTTTGATTTTTTAAAATATCTATGCAAAATGTTTAAATAAGTGAAATGTAAAATGAGCTCAAACAGAAATAATATGTTTGTTGGAACATATACATTTTAAATAAGTTATTCTCCAAATTCAGTAATTTTATCCCTAAGGTCTGCCATTTTAAAGAAAACCAACAACAGATACCTTAGTATCAAACTATAAGACTTTCTATCTATATCACTTGTTCCTCTCCAGTCTAGACAACTCTCCTCATGATATAGAACAGAAAGTAAAAGAAGAATAAAGTATTAAGAGTACAAGATAAAGCAATGTACCTTCGTACAGGGTACCAGAGATCATCAATTAATAAATGAAATAATTTGAAGGAAGCATAAGACCACCACCCTTGTCATCAAGTTGATTCCAACTAAAAGTGTAAAGAAAAAAGTCTGGGGACAGAAAGAGCTCTGTGGATTTAGGCAAGAAACTAATTGTTTCATTTCTTGTAGGAAAGTTAAGTTTAGAGTCTCTTATCTACCCTTAAGGATTTCAAATGAGACACACAGGAAAGGACTTAGCACAGATCTTGGTACATGGAAGATGTTCAACAAATGTTGCTTCCTTTCTGTAGCTATGGAGCAAACTGAAGGAATGAGTGAAAAAAATGAAGTAGAGTACAGTTCAATATTTCTTAAGATGAACAATACATAAAAATTCTATAGCACAATTAATTTAAAATAAACTATGAAAGTAAATACACTAAAAAGTACTATAACTAGTCTGGCATACTGGAAAGTGTATTAAACCAAGAGTTGGAAGACCTGAGTTCCAAACTTTTGCAACCTCAAGTTTCCGTTTCCTTACTGGCAAAAAATATGCCAACACCACCTTTTTTATACATAGCTTAAATAAAAGAATGCATAGGAATGCACAGTCCTCTTCAGTGTCCATATAAATAGGAGATATTATTGTTACATTCTGGGAGAGGAGCGGAGCAATAGTATGTATCTCACACAATTGAATGCTTACTTAAATTTTCAATTTAATTGAAGAATACAGATGAAGTATTTACAAATTAACTATATAAAAAAGGAGAAGTAAATGAGCAAAATATTAAATTCTTTCAAGTTGTTGAACGACAACTTCAGTTCCAACTCATAGCAACCCTGTATAGGCTTCCCGAAACAGTACATCTTTGTGGGAGCAGAAAGCCTCATTCAAATGGAAATAGCTCATAAATATTTCAAGTATATCTAAGTAACATTTCAATTCAAGAATTCTTATTCGCTTACCTTTTGTCGTTTCCCAGTTCTCCATTTTTCTGAGATTTTTCAGGACATTTTTCTTTTCCCTTATAAAAGAGAAAGTTTTTATTTTAAATTGTATGGTCCATTTGTGTGAGATTAAGGAAAACATTATTATTTATTACAAGGTTTGTTTGTTTTTTACCTTAAGAAAAGAAACAAATGATCCAATATGTACATCTCCTTGTTCAGGAACTGCAACATCTTCTGTGTTGGGGTCGATAAAATCATACACCTCCTGGTCTAAGTATAGATTAATATTTATTAGAAATTAAGTATAATAGCCTGCATGCTCTGACACTGTAGTGCTTAGAATAAAAGTGAATTAATTCTTTAAAACAAGCTGGGCAATTTTTCATTAAAAAATCCATTCTATGTACATGAAATAAAAATGGAAGACATTGTATAAATTACCTTTCTGAGAATCCATTTTACTTCCTATTGAATGACTGTCATTTCTTGATTCTGAGACTTGAGAGTGAAGGCTGATTGTGTCATCATCTGATGGCTGAATAGAATATGGAAAAACAAGCATTTTAAACATATGGTAAGGATTTGTTGTTGTTAAGTGCTGTCAAGCCAGTTCTGACTCATAGCAATTCTGTATAAGGTTTCCAAGGAGCAACTAGAGGGTTTGAACTGCTGACCTTCTGGTTTACAGTCCAGTGCTGATCCTACAGTGGCACACCAGAAGGCCTATAGTAAGGATTTAGTTGTTTTAATTTAATCTAAGAAGTATAGAGTATGTTTTACATTTCCAAATTTGAAACCAAACATTTATGTTAAAATGTCCTGTTCTACTTTAAAAGTCTGCATGTCTTTTATTCACTTAATATCATAAAACGTAATAACACAGTTTTTAAACAAAATAAAAACTCAAGTTTGTGTACCCTAATATTTTAAAACAAATTGGCAAGAAAGACTCACTTCTGTTGTAGATAATCTCTTCTCTCCATTATCACTTCCAATTCCAGAGTCTGGGCCATGATTTTTATTTGGATAAAAATCTTCCATACTAATAGGACACAGAAATTTTAAGGGCAGTTAATGTTTTTTTCTTAAAGCGATAATACCCACTTGATTTAAGATTGCTCTAGATAATATAGTTTAGATGTCTCAGGTCTTTAAGGACAAAACAAACAAACAAAAATATTGAAGTTGGGTCAATTCTGACTTAAGGTGATACCATGAGTTACAGAGTAGAACCAAAGTCCATTGTTTTCTTAGCTGTAATCTTTAAGGAAGCAGATCACTAGGCCTTTTTATCTGTAGTGCCACTGGATAGATTTAAATGGTCAACCTTCCAGTTAATAACCCACTGCAAACCATTTGTGTTACCCATAACTAAGATCTATAAGGACACAAGAGGGGAAATATCACAAAGCACTTTATTCATGTCCCTCATACATAGACAAGAAAATATGCAGCTAGAGTGGAGATGTAACTTACAAATGATTTTTAACACAGTGTTTGTAAATATACATTTATGATGTAATTTGTAAATTACGTTTATATTTATTCACATTATTTATTACAGTAAATTTAGTTAAAACCATTTATAAATTGCATCTCAACTCTATCCCCATCTTTTCATCTCCATTACAACCATCTTATTAAAGATCCCTAGGTCTCTTGACAGTACTGCAACAGCCTAAATGGTCCCTGTGCTTCTACTTTTGCTTATGTCTACCCTGTTGTTGTTGTGAGATGACAGTGAGTTGGTTATGTCTCATAGCAAGCCCATACACAACAGAATGAAATACTGTCAATTGTGTGCCATCCTCACAACTGCTGTTTATGCATCAGCCCATTGTTGCTGCCACGGTATCAATCCATCTCATTGAGGGTCTTCCTCTTCTTATTCACTAAACTTTCACTTTGTCAATCATGCTGTTTTTCAGAGATTAATCCCTCCTGATAACATGTCCAAAGTATGAGAGATGAAGTATCATTCTGTTCACTTCTAAGGAGCGTTTTGGCTGTACTTTTTTTTTTTTTTTTTCAGTTTTACATTCATTCTATCATACATCATTACATTGCCATAGTTACCATCCCATTCATGCATCATCACCCAACCAAAGGGTATACCCTGCAAGCCTGTCCCCCCACAGTCCTCAGCACACAGCCCTTTCCCTCTCTGGATCTCAAGTCCCCCGCCACTCCATCTCTTCATGTCATCTTCTCTGCCTCCATCTCGGGCCTCACTGCTGCTCTGGGTAGGGTCTTGCTCTCTGCTCTTCTCCATCGATGGTCCCAGGGCCCTCCACTCCTAGGCTGAAAAGTTAGTCACTCCCCTCCTTCTATAAAATGTCCACCTTTACATTTCCAACCCTCACAATCAGTCCTGATAACAATTATTCACTATTGATTGCATCACAAAAGACCCATCTGCATTTCATTTCATCAGCCCTTCCTGGACAGGCTGGATACTATTCACTGGAGACTCTACCTTCTTCCATGCCCTTTGGATCTAGGTTCCCTCTTGAAAGCTTGTAAGCCAGTTACTTCTTACCTTTGTATCCCTCCCCCCGTTTTGGGTAGCCAATGTCCACGTTTTGGCTGTACTTTTTCCAAGACAGATTTGTTTTTTTCTTCTGGCAGTCCAGTATCATAATCCAAATACACCAATTCTTCTCCTGTCCCCCTTATTCATTGTCCAAATTTCATAGGTATATGAGGCAATTGAAAATACCATGGTTTGCACACCTTAGTCCTTAAACATATCTCTGACCATGAGCATTCTAGAGAAACATTTTCTTGCAGATTTGCCTAATGAAATGTCATTTGATTTCTTGACTGCTGCTTCCATGAGAGTTGACTGTGAATCTAAGCAAAATGAAGTCTTTGGCAAGGTCGACATTTTGTCCATTTATCATGATGTTATTTATTGGTCCAGTTGTGAGGACTTTTGTTTTCTTTACATTAGGGTGCAATACATACTGAAGGCTGTAGTGTTTGATCCTCATCAGAAAGCATTTTCGTCCTCTTCACTTTCAGCAAGCAAGGCTATTATCATCTGCATATTGCAGGTTGTTAATAAGTCTTCCTCCAATCCTGACGCCATGTTCTTCTTCATATAATCCAACTACTCCGGTTATTTGCTCAGCACACAGATTGAGTAAGTATGGTGAAAGAACACACCCCTGATGCACACCTTTCCTGATTTTAAACTGTTCAGTGTTCCCTTGATCTGTTTCACACAACTGCCTCTTGCTCGATATACAGGTTCCTCATGAGCACAATTAAGTGTTTTGAGGTACCCATTTTATACAACGTTATCCATAGCTTGTTATGAGCCATACAGACAAATGTTTTTGCACAGTAAATAAAGCACAAGTAAACATCTTTCTGGTATTCTGTTTTAGTCAAGATCCAGCTGACATCAGCATGCATCTCCCTTATTCTACATCCTCTTCTGAATCCAGTTTGAGTTTCTGTCACACCCTGCTACAATTGTGTTTTAATTATCCTCATTCAGCCGAATTTTACTTGCATGTGATATTAATGATACAGTTAGATGATTTTTGAATTATGTTAGGTCACCTTTCTTTGGAATGGGCACAAATACAGATCTCTTCCATATGGTTGGGCAGCTGGCTTCCAAATTTTTTGGCATAGTCAAGTGTTGCATCAATTTACTGAGATATTTCAGTTTGTACTCCTTCAATTCCTGATGCCTTGTTTTTTGGCAATGCCTTCAGTGCAACTTGGACTTCTTCCTTTAGTACCATCAATTTTTGATCATATGCTACCTGCTGAAATGGTTGAACATTGACCATTTCTTTTTCGATACTGTGACTGTATACTCTTTCCATCTTCTTTTGATGCTTTCTCCGTCATTCATTATTGTGCCCACTGTTGTTGTTGTTAAGTGCCACTGAGTTGGTTTGAATCCATAGTGCATAGAATCCTTCAATATTGCAAATCAAAGCTTGAATTTTTTCTTCAATTCTTTCAGCTTGAGAAATGCTGAGTGTCTTCTTCCCATTTGGTGTTCTAATTCCAGGACCGTGCACATTTCATTATAATATTTGACTTTGTCTTCTCAAACTCCCCTTTGAAATTTTTTGTTCATTTCTATTTCCTCAAGTTGCTTTATCTTTTCTACACACAAGAGAAAGTTTCAGAGTCTCTTCTGACATCCATTTTGGATTTTTCTTTCTTTCCTCTCCTTTTAATGACCTTTTGAATTCTCCATGTATGACGTACTTGATGCCATTAGTGTCTAATGCATCAAATTTGTTCTTGAGATGATCTCTAAATTCAGGTTGGATATGGTCAAGGTCATATTTTGGCTCTTGTGGACTTGTTTTAATTTTCTTCAGCTTCAGCCTGACAAATTGATGGTTTTTCCCACTCTCAGTCACTGACCTTGTTTTGGCTAATGATAGGGAGACTTTTAGTATGGAGGTATGTAAACTAGATAGGGAATAATCTGGACAAAAGTAAAAAGAATGTTGGCAAACTGTGATAAATTTAACTAATGTCACCAATTTATGAAGAAATTGTCAAATAGGAGCCTAACTTGCCATGTAAATTTTCAACCCAAAATCAATAAAATATTACTTTAAAAACAAAACATAACATAAAACAGATCTTGTTATTTTCCTGTTTAATATACTTCAATGACTTTCCACTTGAAGCACAATTCAAACACCTTTTCGTCACCTACAAAGCACTACATGACTTGAGCCGACTCCCCCAAATCAACTTGCATTACCCAACCACTCAATTATTCTACTCCAGCCATACTAACCTCTTTTCAGTTCCTTGAACATACCAAGTTCCTTCCTACCTTAAATCCTTTGCATATGTCGTTTTTTCTGCCTGGCATGATCTACCCCTTTCTTCTGATGTGGCTGGCTTTTCTACCTAAATATATGGGCTTAAAACTTCACCTTCCTAAAAAAGACATTCCCTTAGCACCCTCTTGAAATATAGTCCTTTCCTTCATAACACTCAGCACAATTTGACATTATCCATCTGCTTTCTTGCAGATATGTATGTTGTCCAACAAAGCATAGGAACCTACCACACTAGGCATTCAACTAATATTTGTAAAATAAATAAAACAGTGAGTACCATTACTAAAGCAAATTAATTTTAATTAAATGATATAAAACAGACAATAGAGTTTAGAATACATAATAGCTATGAATTGTGTAGAATTATTTAATTGAGTACTATTCAAAATAGTGTTGTGCAGTGAAGGAATTATTTAATGCCTTTTTTAGCCATAAGTTTTATAAACTCCCATCAAAGGACTTTTACCTGATGGGTCTGGGTAACAGAAGGTGGATGAAGATGATGATGGATCATATGATTCAATTGTGAGTGATCTGTAGCAGGGTTAATTGTGAAAACTTGGAACTCTAACGTGGGTATAAAATGAGCCACCTTAGAAACAGGAACTGGGCATCTTATTATCATTAAAGGAGAAGAACCATGAGTGGAACACATCTTTTGGACTCCAGGTTTCCTCCACATTGAACCTCCTTGACAAAGGGACACTGGAAAAGTGGTAGAGGATCAGAAGTAGCAGAACCAAAGGCCAGAGTACAAGTCAGAGTGGTGGGTTTCCCAGCCTCCAGGGGGCAAGTAAAGCTGAGTGCCTTTAGGCAGGAGGCTTGCTTGTAGAATGGGGTTCCTCCAATCAGTTCATTGGTAGCTAGCTTTGCTGACCCATGAAGCTAGAGCAGAATGCCTTCAAGCTTAGGCTTGTGGTATGTCCTGTGGGCAGTTATCAGCAACCCTAAAAGAGCTCTGTAATATTGCCTGGACAGGCAAGAGGCCAAGCCAAGGGACCAAGGGCCAAAGAAAGGACTGTCTATAGCACAGCTGAGGAGAGCTGTTCAACCTGAACGAACTGAGCCTTGAACATTCCTGATCCTGTACTGTAATTTGTTAACTTCCCTAAGAAACTCCATAACTGTTGAGTACAGTGTCTGTGGCCACTGCAATGGATCACTGAGTCTCATTTAGTAGAGTGCTGTAGGAAGGATGATTTAGTGCTCATGTTTTTGCAACTGAACAAAATATTCTGTATGAATTGAATTTATTGTTAAGATATTTAATCCTACTTAGGCAACAGAAATATTCAAAGAAATAACCTATTTGGTAATTCAAAAAACATGCATTATTAACAACAGTACCTATTCAAAGAAGTAACCTATTTGGAAATTCAAAAAACATCAACATTTTTACATAAATGCAATGACAAATCTTTAAATATCTTAGACAGTGGTATAATCTCCCAGTCTCTAGTTTTACCCCATCAAAGTTATTTTCCATGTTACGAGTTGGAATTATGCTTTCACAAAATCTTTCCAACCAATCTACATCTTGGAAAGATGAATTAAAAAGAGAATATTAAACACACCTAGTCAAAATCTCAGGGAAGACAAACACTAAAATCAATGATAAATCATTTTTGGTCGAAATATAAATACTACTAAGAATATGAAGAAAGGTACCCATTAAATGCCTTGTCCTAACACCAATCTCAGTTCTAAGTGCAATGCCACTTGTTATTATATATGTGCCATATAGTGAGCACAGTGCTGAAAAAGTAGTGTTCCTGTGCTGTAATTTCAAACATACAATTTTTTTTATCACTAAAATCTTGATAAATATTTTTAAAGGAAATTCTAAATTCATTTCACTTTCACAAGAATCTATTCTAAGGTAGTAATATTCAGCTTCAGTCAACTGTTGATTATAACACTGTGAGTCAGCCTAAATTTATTCAGTGCACTCAAAATTATATCTTTTGTGCAAAAGGGGTTCAAAAAGTTAATGAAAAATGTCATTATCTTTTCATTGTATTTTTTCCATGAGCTTTTTGAAGCCTCCTCATAGAGAGAGGATGTCAACTATTGTAAAATGAAACTAGAATATCACATTACCTGTCTGTGAGAGGCTGAGAGGGCATTCTTTTATTCAGTGATGGAAGATCCAGGGAATCTGGTTTCTTATCCATTCTGCAGCATGCTTGGATATTTAAGTACTTGAATATATGTACTTTACCCTTTAAACATATCTGTTAACAAATAATGGAGAAAGTAGACTTCATTATGTAATTCCGATATAAATGTCATAAATGCCATCAGTCCTGGTGTGGCGCTGTAAGATATGCACTTGAATTCAAATTGCAAGGTCAGTGGTTCAAACCTACCATCTGATCCTTGGAAATCCTAGACAGGGTGGGTATGAGTTGGAACTGACTCAACAGCACTTAACAACAACATCAACTATACTTATACATTGAAATAATCTGAAATTATGTTGAGACATCACAATCTTGATAGTTTGTATATTTAAAGTGTGTATACTTTGCATATTCATTAAACCAAATCTGAAAACACAGATACCAACTGAAAAATTCTAATGCCATCTCTATTCTTACTGGAAAGCATAATTTAAACAATTTTTCTATATTTCACTAAAATTGTACAAATCACTAAAAAAACCCAGAATGTGACAATTCAAGAATGTTGCCTTTATTAGAGAAATTGCAGTGCTGAGAACAAAAGAAATAATACATGTAATTATTGAAAGTAATCTTCTCAGAACCACCACAATGCTTGGTGCAAATATTGGAAGAATGGGAATCTAAAGAAATGTAAAACACTAGGAAAATTAATTTATTAGAAGAAATAGGCTAGGATAATATGTAAAGAAGCTATTTTCACTGATGAGGAATAAAAGGAATCATGCAAGACAAAACACTATGGGAAATAAATTATTTTTCAGTATAAGAAAGATGGAAAATGATAGCTAAGGAAAAGGGAAGCCAACTTTATAAAGGTTAATTATAGTCATGATTACTGTTATGAAATAAATATCTCAAAAGCTATCATTTAAATTTTTTTTGTTTTATGGGCTCACAGTACATACATATAATGCATGCAAAAATAGCCAAATGCAAGAGTTTGTTGATTATTAACAAGAACAGTAAGACAACTATACTAAAAAGCAATGATCATCCCAGGTGAAAAAAGTTGCAACTTAGGTAATTCTAACAGCTACTAGTTCTGATCTGAACAATGAAAATTTTCATTTAAAAGGAAAAGAAAACGCTGTAAGCTAATAGAATATAAGTATATTAATTATTAATTATAATGTGCTAAATAGGATCCTAAGCAAACGAAATAAAAATATGTCACAACAGTTCAATCTGCAGGCCAACATGGGCAGCTTTTCGTACTGCATGAGTACAGGACTGCATGAGCCTGGCACCTAACAGCAACCTAACAATGGCAGTTAACACCGCTCACCACCAAGTTAAATAGTGGTGAATTATGTTGCCTTTTGTAAATTTAATTTCTACCTTTATCATGTATAGCGCATGATTTTAAAAAACAGGATTACAAAACTAATCACAAACAAACATAATTCTCCTTTCTACTTCTGTTACTCCCCAAGACCCAATCTCCACCTATAACTCTTTAAGCTGGTTTTCTGCTATTTCCAATATTCATAAACAATGTATTCTTAAAATTTTCCATTACAGATCTTATTTCCTGAGTTCTTACACACAGAGATGAGGATTTCTTACATTCCCACTGCCACCACCATCCCACGCCCTCTACCCATCCACTCACATAAACACACTTTCCCTTTTCTCAGAATCACATCATAGTGATTTAAGAACCTATATTCTGGACTCAGACTGCTTGAATGCTGGCTCTACACACACACACTTAGCCACGTGACTTGGACAAGTCATGTAACATAATTTTTTTTTTTTTTGGGTCATGAATGAGGATAATGATGTTGTTATTAGCTGCCACAGAGTCAGCCTCTAGCTCATGGTGACCTCATGCTCAATGAACAAAAGGCTACCCAGTCCTGCATCATTCCCATGATAAGTTGTAGATAGGGCCATTGTGATTCATACAGTTTTTACTGGCTGATTGTTTAAAGTAGATCTCCAGGTCTTTCTTCCCAGTATGTTCTCCTTTGGAAGCTCTGCTGAAACTTGTTCATTATCTTAGCAACATGAAAGCTTCCACTAGTAGGTAGTAGCTGACTGCCTAGAAATGGAACTGCTTTCTCACATGGAAGGTCAAGAACTCTATCACTATACCACCAATGTCCTTGAGGATAATGACAGAACCTGTCTTATAGGATGAAAGGAGTTGGTTAGCAGTAGGTTTCCAAGGCTGTAAATCTTTGTTGTTGTTGTCAGGTGCCATCGAGTCGGAACCGACTCATAGAGACCCCATGCACAGCAGAACAAAATAATGTCCGATCCTGGCCCAACCTCACTAACGCTGCCACACAAGACACCACACTTGATGCCATCTGGCTGATCCATCTCGTTGGAGGTCTTCCTCTTTTTCTCTGACCCTCCATCTTACCCAGCATGCCATCCTTCTCCAGCGACTATTCCCTCCTGACAATATGTCCAAAGTATGAGAGACGGAGCTTAGCCATCCTGGCCTCCAAGGAGCACTCTGGTTGCACTCTTCCAAAACAGATCTATTGGTTCTTTTGCCAGTCCATGGCACTTTTAGTATTCTGTTCCAACACCACAACTCAAAGGCATCAATTCTTCTACGATCTCCCTTATTCACTCTCCAGCTTTCGCATGCATATGAGGTTATTGAAAATACCATGGCTTGGGTCAGGTGCACCTTAGTCCTCAAGCTGACATCTTTACAGGAGCAGAAAGCCTCATCTTTCTCCTGCATGTATATATGTTGTTATTGATGTTAAGTGCTGTAGAGTCGGTTCTAACCCATAGTGATCCTATATAAGATTTCAAAGGAGCGGCTGGTGAACTTGAACTGCCGACCATATGGTTCAAACTGACTTTGCAGTCTGGCACATTAACCCACAGCACCACACCAGGACTCCCTTCTTTCTCTATATATTTATATTTAAATATACATCTATACACATTGTTGTTGTTAAGTACTGTGGAGTCGGTTCTGACTCATAGCAACCCTGCACAGGGTTTCCGAGGCTGTAAATCATTATGGGAGCAGAAAGCCTAATTTTTCTCCCGTGGAACAGCTGGTAGTTTTGAACTGCCGACCTTGAGGTTAGCAGCCCAATTCGTAACCACTACGTTACCAGAGCTCCTTATACATACATAAGTACACGCACATTTATATAGTAAGATTATATTTCATTTCTACTTTTAAAAAACTTTTTCCTAAAGTGACCAATTGCATCTTTTTTGCTTTTCACATAATTTTCTATATGATTATTACTAATTAACTCTCAAAATCTCTGATAGAATTATAAGTCTCCCGATTGTAAAATGCATCAATTCACCAAGCAGTTTCTTTCATTTTTGCAGGCAAATCCCTACTCCAAACCAATTAGTGACTTTCTATCACCCTTTTGACCTATGAACACTTGCCATTCTTGGCTATCAAGACTTTCTCTTTGTTTATGCCTTCATTTTGATGTGGCACATTATCTGCTAGCTTCCTAAAACAGACTGCATAGGATTTAAAAGATTTGAGACCTTGTATGTTTCAAACTGTCTTTTTTTTTTTTTTTTAATCTTACACTTAACTGATACTTTAACTGAGTATAGAAAGTTGGAAATGTTCTCTCGGCCTTTTAAGGCATCGTTCTAACATCTTCTAGCTTCCAGTGCTGCTGCTTAGAAACTATTCTGATTACTACCCCTATGAATGTGTCTCATTTACTTTAAACAGAAACCTTTAAGTATTCTGGTTTTGTTTCATGATTCCTGCAATAATTAGTGATTCCTGGATGGGTGTCTATTTCCAAGAGAGTTGATAAGAAGCAAGAAGTTCCTTCTGTGTATGGAAAGAAATTTACTGACAGTAGATATCACTGGTAATCAGACAGGGTCTAGTCATTGCAATAAGGGAAGGAGCTGTGGTAGCGTAGTGGTTATGAATTGGGCTGCGAACCTCAGGGCCAGCAGTTAGAAACTACCAGCTGTTCTGCAGGAGAAAGATGAGGCTTTCTGCTCCTTTAAAGGTCCTCGGAAACCCTGTACAGGGTCGCTATGAGTCAGAACCGACTCCATAGCACATAACAACAACAACAACACACACAGAATCCTAGTATGGTGCTACAGAATAAGCACTGGACTGCTAACCACAAGGTCGGCAAAAACCTACCTGCTGCTCTTATACATGGGTCCTACAAGTTGGAACTACCCGATGGCACTTAACAACAAATGCACACACACATACTCTCTCTCCTATTGTGTGTGTCTTTTCTCTCCTGGTTCAATCATTTTACCAAGAAAGAAATCCAACAATGACCTGATTGAGGTATATAATATGCAAGCCTTCTGGAGTCAAGTAAGTAGACTGGAGGGTAACATTCAGCAGGCAGGCTTTCACTATGCTCAGTCTGAGCTCTCATTCCTGTGCATGGAGTTCCTCACTCCAAAGCCTTTTGAGTTCAGTCTCTCTACAGTTATTTGATATGGTAATCAGTAGTCATATGAGGCTATTTAACTTAATTAAACCTAAATAAAATTAAAAATTCAATTCCTCTATCACACTATCGAATTTAAAGTGCATAATAGTCACTGTGGCTTACACACTGGACAGCAGAGATACAGAGTAGTTCCATTACTCCTGGATAGTTCTAATGGATAGTGATGCTATGAGGAGCAAACTCCAGTCTTCTGCTGAGCCAAGGGAGAGAGGATGCAAATGCTCCTCAGATCTGCGCTATCCAATATGGTAGCCACAAGCCACATGCAGTTATTTAAATTTAAATTAATCAAAATGAAACAAAGAAGTCCCTCAGTTTTACTAGCTGTATTTCATGATACTGAACAGCTGTAAAGAGACTGAACTAGAATATTTCCAACATCACAGAAGGTTTCACTGGATAGTACTCAGATATTCCACAACCTGGTGTGGTGGGTTACACATTGGGCTGATAACCACAGTGTCAGCAGTTTGAATTCACCAGCCACTCCACATCAGAAAGTAGAGGGTTTCTGTTCCAATAGAGATGTACAATTCCGGAAACCCTACATATGGTCACTATGAGTCATAATTGACTAGATGGCAGTAGGTTTGGTTTTATGGTTTGGTCCCTATGTTCATAGTTACCTGGTTCTTCTAAATCTCAAGCCATTTCCAGGTTTAACAGCGTAAACGGACTTACTTCTTTTTGCTTTCTCCAACAACAGAAAAAAAGGTTCATCTTTCAGTATTCAGCTAAGGCAGGTATAATCAGGATCTGTGGTTTCTGTGTCTACTTGGCTAGGCCATGGTTCTAGTGGTTTAGCTAAACACTAGACAAGTTCTTTTTCCACAGTGTAATGTAATCAATCAATCAATCAATTTAAAAGGGAGTTTCCTTAGGCTGTGTTCTGTTCTTGGTGGTGGTGGTGGTAGTGTGCTGTGGAGTCAGTTGCTACTCATGGCAATCCTGCATAGGGTTTCCAAGGCTGTAAATTTTCATGGGAGCAGAAAACCTTAGCCTTCTCCTGCAGAACTGCTGGTAGTTTCGAACTACTGACCTTGAGGTTAGCAGCCTGACTCATAACCACTACACTCCCAGAGCTCCTTCTGTTCTACTCCTTTTTGCTGTTGTTAAGTGCTATCCAGTCATTTCTGACTCATAGCAACCCTGTATATGGTTTCTGAGGAACCGCTGGTGAGCTTGAACCGCCAACCTTGCAGTTCAAACCAACCTTGCAATCCAATGCATTAACCTGCAGTGGGATACCAGGACCCCTGACTATAATAAATATCTTAGCAGAACTCACTCTCTTTCCACTCTGTACTCGTTCTGTCACATGACCTACAGATCTTGGGACATAAGCCTGAACAAGTCTCTAGCCTGCTACCTGACCTACAATTTTCGGATTTGTCAGTCCCTACAATTGTGTGATGTCATCAAGGTTATGTCGATCTCTCTTATCTATGTTTGTGTGTGTGTGTGTGTGTGTGTGTGTGTTAATGGTTCTGCTTTTCTAGAGTACCCTAGGATAGGATCCCAACCAGCCTGTGTGTGAATTCAGATAGGCATCGCCTTGGAAATAAGCAGAACGTAACTATATGAGAAGAAAACAGTTACCCTTTCCTTTGGATATATGGAACCACTGTGCCAGGGCACACAGCTTGAAAGCATTGTTGTTGTGTGCCAAAGACACCGTTCCAACTCACAGCAACCTTGTACAAAGTTTTGGAGAGTGGCTGGTGGATTTGAATTGCTAAGCTTGTGGTTACCAATCCAGTGTTTATCCTACAGGACCATACCAGGGCTCTAGCTCAGAAGTAGAATGGAATTTTGATGCCATGTGCCTCCTCAGCCATACATTATTGTGCAATGTAAGCAGATTCCTTGGTTACCACCACTCCATCTATTTTCTATTCAATAAAATTCTGGTGACACGTCTCCAATGTTACTCTCTCCTCTCCTGTGCTTTGTTCTTTACTGATTTATATTTTAGTTTTTCTTTTACTATTACTTGGATATGTTGTTGCTGTTAGTCGATATCAAATCAATCCTGAGACAGTGTGATGTCACATGTGCTCTACTGTGCTCTATATGTCTTGGTGTGGTGCTGTAGGATAAACATTGGACTTATAGCCAAAACATCGGTGGTTCAAACCCACCAGTTGCTCCTCAGAAATCCTATAGAGCTGGGGTGGGGAACCTTTTTCTGCCAAGGGCTATTTGGATAGTTTTAACTTCATTCGTGGGCCATACAAAATTATCAACTTAAATATTTGGTCCAACATTTCATTAACTCACCCCTAATGTTATGTCCTGGTGAACTGCAAGGTCAGTGGCTCAAGTTCACCAATTGCTCCTTGGAAACCCTATACAGGGTCACTATGGGTCAGAATGACACGACAGCACTTAACAAAATCAACGACAACAATGTTATGACTGGAACTGCAAGTTGTCTTGGCAGGGCAAGACCAAATGATTTTGAGGGCCTTATACAGCCCGTGGGCCAGATGGTCCCCACACATAGAGGGTAACTATGAGTCAGAACCACCTCAGTGGTACCTGATGACAGCAACAATAAGATTTGTAAGGCTGCCATCATTTGGAAATATATCACTAGGTCTTATTTTCAAGATGCCTCTGGGTGGGTCTGAACTATGAAGCATTCAGATAATAGTAATTCAACACTAAACTATTTGTGCCATCCATGGGCACAGATTGAATACTCATTGAACCAAGAAATTGCGTTTAGCTCTGAACCTTGTTCTTCCTGTTACAATTCAATCTAGCAAGAACATGCTCTAAAAAAAACCACACAGTAAATTCCTAGTAGATACATACCTGAGTAGATGGGTAGAAAGTGAGATTTCCTACTCTATCCTTTAAAAATAACATTGACGATCAGTTCACAAGCCCACCCAAACAATCAGTTCACAAAAAGTTAATACGGGTCTTCCAATCCTATCACTAGAGCTTAAACTAAAAACTCCTGCCAAAGTGAAAAATTCACTTTTAAGAAAAATTCCTTTCCACTGTTATTCTGTCACTTTGTCTTACTGAAGTGGTTTGCGTGCTGCAGTGAGACTGGAAGATATGCCAATAATATTTCAAATATAAGCAGGGTCACACATAGTGGACAGATCTGAGCAGAGTTTCCAGACTAAGACAGCCTAGGAAGGGAGGGAGGCAGACCACTTCTAAAGGGTTAGCCACTGAAAACTTTATGAATATCAGCAAAAGACTGTCTGATATAAGACCAGAATATGAGTTCATTGGGTTGGAAGGCACTCAAAATACAACTGGAGAAGAGCTATCTCTTTAAATAGAGTATACCTTAATGATGTGGATGGAGTAAAACATTTTAGACCTTTATTTGCTAATGGGGCTCATCTCAAAATTAGAAATGAATAGATGGCAAACATCCACTGGTAAATGAAACCTGGAATGTACAATGCATAAATTTAGGAAAATTGAAATTAATCAAAAATGAAATGGAACACATTAAGATCAATATCCTATGCATTAGTGATGTGAAATGGACTGGTAATGGCCATTCTGAATCTGACAATCCTATGGATTCCTATGCCAGAAATGACAAACTGAATAGGAATGGTGTCACATTCATCGTCTAAGAGTGCTTAACAATCTATCTTGAAGTACAATGCTGCCTGTGATAGGATAATATCCATGCATCTACAAGGAAGACCAGTCAATAACACTATTACTCAAATTAGTTTAGCAAGCGCTAAAGCCAGTGATGATGAAACTGAAGAATTCTACCAACTTCTTCAGTCTGAAATTGAATAAACATGTAATCAAGATACATTGATAACCACTGGTGATTGGAATACCAAGGTTGAAAACAAAGAGGATGGATTGATAGCTGGAAAATATATGGAGAGCACATGACAGAATTTTGCATGACCAATGAAATATTCATTGAAAATACATTAAAAAAATATATAAATGGCAGCTATACACATGGACCTCACCATCTGGAATATACAGGAATCAAACTGACTACATCTGTGGGAGGAGACAATAGGTAAGCACATAATCATCATTCAAAACAAGGCCAAGGGCTGACTGGAACAGACACTATGTGCAAATTCAGGTGGAATCTGAATAAAATGTTCAAAAACAGATTTGATGCATTAAATACTAATGACAAAAGAGCAAAAGTGTAGTGGGATGACAGCAAGAACATCATACACAAAGAAAAAAAAGGTCACTAAGAAGAAAGAAAAGACCATAACAGATAATATAATAGACTCTGAAACTTGCTCTTGAGCACAGAAAAGCTAAAGTAAAAGAGTTGAACAGAAAATTTCAAAGGGCAGATCAAGAAGACAAAGTCAAATATCATAATGAAATATACAAAGACTTGAAGTTACAAAACCAAAAGAGACGAATCTGCTCAACATTTCTCAAGCTGAAAACACTGAAGGAAAAATGCAAGCCTCAACTGAACATATTGAAAAACTCTAAAAGGAGTCCTGGTGTTGTGCTGTAGGATAAGTACTGGACTGGTAACCACAAGGTATGTACTTCAAATCTACCAGCCGGTCCTTGGAAACCCTATACAAGGTCACTATTAGTTGGAACCAACTCAACGGCACTTAACAGCAACATAGGCAAAACACTGAATGTTGTGAGGAGGACAAGTCCCTGGAGAAGGACATCATGCTCAGAAAGTGTGGGGGGGGGGGTCATCAAAAAAAGAGGAAAATCCCCAACAAGATGGACTGACAGAGTGGCAGCAACAAAGGGCTCAAAAGTAACAACTGTGAGGATGGTGCTGGACTGGACAGTATTTCTTTCTGCTGTGCACAGCATCACTACGATTTAGAACCAACTCAAAGGCACCTAACATCCTTTTCGACAATAGCACCTGAACAGCAAATTAACTCCAAATCATAGTGCTTCATTATTAGTAGTATTATTATTGTTTACCACTAACAAAAAGATAAAATGATCAAAGGAAATTAGAAAAATTATGCTTATTTTTATTACAAACCTGTGCTGGTGGTATCTGCAATGGATTGTTATCCAAAATTATTACTTGTAGATGATTCAATTTCCTGTAACAAACTGGAATCTCAGTCACCTTGTTACAAGAGAAATCCAGCTTGACTAAGGGGAGATCTCCTAATTCTGTTGAAAAAAGAAAAATGACATTAAATTGTATACAGTCGCTCTTACATTCATGTCAGTAAAAATAGTGAATACCTTACCATCTGGCAACATACGAAGATTGTTTCTTCTTATATTTAGCTCTCTAAGTGAATGTAATTTTCCCATTTGTTGGGGAAGAACCTGAATCTCATTGCAGCTAATATCCTAAGGAAAACAAGAAAATAAAATTATAACAAACTAATAAATGTGGATATATTCCAATTTTTAAATTATAGCACATTGTTAAGAGCCAGGAAAAGTTGCCTATATATAATGTCATTTTTCTAAAGAGGGATTGTCTGGCAAATATCTTGTTCTATTACATCATGAAATAACTTAGCAGTCTACATAAATTTTTCTGTACAAAAGTTTGAGGTTATAACTTAGGAACTACATAAATCAACCTCTCAAAAATCTCAACTAAAGGCCAGCTCTCACCGCCTAAAACCCAAAGTAGGGATAATCCAGGTGCTCTTTATGTGCAGGTTACATAAAAGGCTGGCAACTATCTAATATTGTGATGGTTTGTTTATTATAATAGTTGCTCTGAGAACCTTGATAGGCCAGAAAAAGCAGAGCAATTAAAATATTATCAGATGTGAATTGGGGAACTAAGGACTATGACCAGGATCAATTAACTAAACTTTCTTCTTCAAATGGGAAACAAAATCTGAAGGGTTACAAATTCAAAGACTTGAGCTGTGGCTTCCATCATAACCCAGAGATTCTAAGCTTTCTGAATGGGAAATCCCTCTGGGTTAAAGTTAAAATGCAAACCTCTGTTTTAAAAGTAAACAAGACCAAGGGTCTATATAATAAGAGGATAAAGTATAGCTCATGGTAACTGCTTTCTCTTTCTCTTTCCCCCTTTCCTATAACCACATTAACAAAAGGTGAAGAAAAATCTGCAACATGATCTCAGGCAGCAGGCATTCCAAACACAATGCAAATGAAATTCATATTCCCTCCAGTGATAGTGAAGATTTTGCGTCAACTTCACTGGGCCTGGATTCCCAGTGGTTTGACAGCTAGGACATTTTAACCCCCTATGTTGCGAACCTAATACAATGTAATCACTTCCATGATAGATCTGCTGTGAACAGCCAATCAATGGAAAGGAACGTTCCTCAGGGATGTGGTCTGCTACCAATATATTGGATGATCGAGCGCGCTGAGCTTGCTTGCCTGCCTTTTGCTGAGTCTGAATCTTTCATCTGGCTCACCATCTGATTGCTGCTTTGGACTCGAGTCAGTGGCCTGCCTATGGCCGGCTGATCCTGCTAGTCATTAGGAGCCTGTCAGTTTACCTGCTGACCTTGGATTTATTTGTCTGTACAGCCAGAAGCCTGCCATCTGACCAGCAGATTTTGGCTTCTTCAGCTGCGTGAGTCAGAAGCCTTCAGCATACATAACATCTGACCCACAGCCTTGGAACTTTCCTACCTCTTCAACTGTGTGAAACATTTTCTTGATAAAAACCTCTGTGTTTTGCTTCTCTAGAGAACACAGCCCAACACAAATCCCCAATTTCCAACTTTCATTGAAAAACACATTACCTTGGAGAGAGACGAGAATGGAGAATACATTGGTTTATCAAAAGTAAAGAATGGTACCTGGCTACCACAACTCAACATTTTCATCAGGGTTACCATAAATGGATCCCGACAGAAAGAGATAAAAACGTGGAGCAGAATTTCAAATTCTAAAAAAGTCCAGATTTATTATACGCATTGAGACTGGAGGAATTCCCAAGACAATTGTCCTGAGATACTCTTCAAACCTTAAACCGAATAGCAAGTTAGCTCCAAAAAATCAGAATGCCATACTTGAGAGTACTATGCTTTTGTAAAAAATTATGTATATAAGATCCAATAGTCAATATTTACTCTAAAGCATAGATAAGAAAGTTGAGGGACACTGTGACTAAATTAATGGGAATGAAACAACTAGAACCAAAATAATGAGGATGTTTGCACAATATGAAGAGTAAGTCAATGTCACTGAAAAATGTGTGCAGAAACTTTTGAATGGGAATCTGTTTTGCTGTGTATATTTTCAACAAAAAATACAAATAAGTGTTATACAATTTTAGAAAACAGTACAGACAAAGACAGGCACAAGGGTATTGATTAAGAAAATTAATGAAATGCATGTTACTTTGATTTGAACATTTTTCTTATCCAGGAAACCAAATATTAACCATAAAAAGTCTAACCCAAACTGTAAATGTCTACCAGATACTCCTGTTAAATGCCGTGGAGTCAGTTACAACTCATAACAACCCTTCTGTTATCCAGACCCATTAGGAAAAAGTTGTTCAGTAGGGATTTACAAAGATTATGGTTAGAAGAGACATTAAATAAATCACTATACCACAGCCATGGAGTCAATTCTGACTCATAGCGAACCTACAGAACATAGTACATTGAGCTGCTGCTTCACAGGGTTTCTGAGGCATTAAATCTCTGCGGGAGCAGAAAGCCACATTTTTCTCCTTCAGAGCGACTGGTGGTCTTGAACCCCTGAACTTGTGGTTCACCGTCCATTGTTTATCTTATGGAGACAGATACTACTCTAAAGAAAGCAATGTAAATCTGTCTTACCACAAACTCAGTGGTTCAAACCTACCAGCCATTCCTCAGAAACCCTCTACATGGTCTTTATGATTTAGAACTGACTCCTGATATTTAACAATAGTCAAACAGTCTCCTGGCTGCAGTTGGGTGAGGGCCAAATTTTTAACATCCAGGTCTTTAGAGGTTTCTTTAAACCTCCTATCAGTTGATCTCAGTAAAGGAAAGAAGGCAGGTTCAATAGAGCACATTAAGATTGCCTATGGTTGATTTTCTAAATTTCTTCTCCTCTTTGCTAAGTCTCATTGTACCTAGCTACTTAGCAACATCTGCTTTTCTAGAATCAAATTGTCTCCCGTCCTGGTGTGGCGCTATGGGCTAATGCACTGGACTGCAAAGTTGGTGGTTCTAGCTTACCTGCCACTCCTTGGAAACCCTATATAGGGTCACTATGGGTCAGATTTCTTAGAAGTACAATTAAGTGTTCTGGAATACTCATACTTCTCAATGTTGTCCATAGCTTGTCATGATCCACACAATC